TCGTAAAATCAGACAATTACAAGATGTGTTTCTAAGTAAAGGTAGAAGAACTGAAACATTACAACAAGAAAGACAAGAAAAACTCGATTCAATCTTGAAAGAAAGAGTGTTAAAAATATACAATAATTATAATGAATCAATTGAAAAATTTTTTCGTTGGAAATGGGTTTAACAACTATCAAATTCTAGACAATTGGCAAGAAACATACTCGCTTTGAACCAAACTTTATTATCTCCTGAAAAAGACAAATTTACATTGGATAACTTGAGAAAACTTCGATTTTACACTTTATTATACGATACTATAAAAGACAACATGGAAAAAGATACAGATAAATCACAATTTAAAGATGGTAGCATGTATGATCTATTGATTCAAAGACTAGACGAACAGTATCTAACACCTCCACAAAATAAAGAAGAGTTACAAAAATTGAGAAAAGAACTAGATGCTAAACTTTTACCATCAACAACTAATAGTATTTAAATTAAAAACTTTGACGAAGCATTCAATTTGTTAAAAGTCGAATTTAATCTCCCTCAAAATATAACAATGAAAATATTTTCCAACTACGTAGTAAACTTTCCAGATGGTGATATTGAACTGTTGAAAGATGATGAATATTTTGATCATGAAATAGAACAACTGGATGATAAAAATAAAAAAACTCTCAAGAATCTTCAAAATAAAATCATTGAAATATATCAAGATGATGAAAAAAAGACAGACAAAAATCAATTAAAAGAAAAAATATCTTCAGTAATCAATTTTGTCAATGATTTATTTAAAAAAGATGATAAAAAACGTAAAAGAAAAGATAAAGAAGAAAAAAAAGAAAAAAAATGTAGAAAAACTCAAAGATCTTGACTATACACATGCTCAAATTTCAAAAGTACGCACTTTTTACTTATCGGGAGCAACTAAAAAATTTGATGCAAACATATACATAGCAGCGATAATAAAAGTCTATAAAGAGATTGTTCAATCGACTGATGAAGAAATCAATCAACTATATAATTTATTAGTAAATAATTTTTATAAATATTCGGATCTAACTTATTACACCAAATATAGTCCAAAAATCGAACGTGATAATGATTTTTTTATAAATAGCAATACAATTACTAAACAACACTTTCTAGACATCGTTTTCAAAATATTAATAAAAAGAGAAGAAGATCCAAGATTAAACAAAAAAATTAAAAATATTTTTGATGATATTGAAATATAATGGATAAAGAAAAAATTCCAGAAACAAAAGAAAAAACACCTTTAGTCGATAATATTAAAAACATAATCGAAGAAAATAAAAAACAAATCAAAAAACTAGAAAAAGATAATAAAAAACTCAAAGAAGAAAACGATGAACTCAAAGGACAAATCAAAAGACTTTTAGAAGATGCCAAAAAAATACAAACAAATAATTTATTGAAAAATATCTTGTTTGATTTATTAAAACATGTAACTTACACGATAATAACAATTTTATTTTTTATTTTTATATCTAA